AAGGTGTGTAAACACCTATTCTTTGTCCAAAAGCCTCCAGTTGGCTTTTGCTTATCAGTGTCACTTGCCATCTTAAAAATGACTTCCTCAGTTGACCCTCAGTGCACACCAGTTTACTTAAACCTGTTGAAAATCTCCTACCCAAAGGACCCCTGTTTGTTCTGAAAGGGTTTAAAATGTAAGTCTTATTTGCTGTCGCTCTCAAAGTCCCCCTTTTCATCTTGGGGCAAGAACCCAGTTTATCACATATTATCAAGTGGCGCTATCTCTTGTGTCAATAGCTGAAGTGCATTTTCATTTTTCATAGGTATTATGTACCCTGTCACACCTTTACTAGGGCACAATTTGTGTAATTCACAGTTTCTGTTATAGAGTAATTAGTAGCTTAAAGCAGAATCATTGTATTAATAATAGTTCCAATAGACCCACCCACCCTTCTGCTAACACTGTGCTATTAAAGGTCTCGGAAACCCAGACGTTTTTTCTCTGTTTTCCCGGTGTTTCTGCAGCATTTGTAGATTGGTATTGACCACTTTTTGAATTGTCTGTTTTCTTGGCCTCCTTGATATATTTTCTGAGCTTCTCTCTCGCTATTGACAATACCACCTGTGTCTTTCTTAATGGCTTTCCTCATCTCTTCCTGATATTCAAAGTATTTATTCACTTTTATTAAAAAAAATGTGCTGTGCCTCTTTTGTGAGCCAGGCTCTGTTGCTGGTACTGGGGTCATGGTGGTGGACTGGACAGGCACAGTCCCTGCCACAGACGCTTATGTGCCACGGGTGGAGACAGATAGTAACTGTGGACCTAAATCATGATTTCAGACGGGTCACTGCAGAGATACAGCAGGACAACGAGAGCACAGTCAGTTGGAGGTCTAGAAGGAGTTCCTTGAGGAAGTGATGCTGATGCTGAGGTTTGGAGGATGAGTAGGGATTAACTAGGCCAAGAAGGAGCAGAAAGGATGGCGTGAGTGAGGCTTGGCGGTGGGAAGGAGCATGGCATGCTGGGAACCTAAGGCCAAGATGGCTGGAGCACCGGTATCGAGTGTGGCTTCAGGGGAAGAAGGGCCTCCTAGGCCACCATGACGAGTCTGGATTTCCGTTTAAGCATTTGGAGAGTTTTAAGCCAGGAAGTAACCTGATCCGATTTCCATTCCAGCTAAATTGTGGAAAATGGATTGGGTAGAACGAACTCCAGGTCAGCAGTCCACTGCAGTGGCCTGAGTAGGAGAAGGTGGTAATTAATTATGCCTTGAGGCCTCTTCCCTTGGACTGCAAGCTTTGTGTGTATAAACTAAAACTGGGTGTATGGTTTCTTCTTCTCAACCCGTTATTGTTCTTGATTTCTTGTTCTCATCACTTATTCTGCTGTTCTCATAATCACCCTGATTGGAAAATTCAAGGTCACTTGGACCGGCCTCGCCTTTGGGCCATCACAGCTTCAGTCCAGAATCCTGGCTGCACCAGGACCTTCTCAGCCTCAAGGGCTCTCCCAGCTCTGATCCTGCCTGAGCATCAGTGACTATACTTCTTCCTGAAACACCACTCTTCTCTCTCTTCTTTCCTCAAAAACTCAGTCCTCCCCCTCCCCGACCCCTGACCCCTTTGTTTTAGGATAAGCCTGGGCTCTGGAGGGCCAGCAGTTGCCCTTGAGTTTCCACCTCAGCCTGCCTGCTTCCCTCATTTCCATTATTTTGTTCTTGATATTGTGCAATATAAACCTTTTGCCTCAGTCAAGAAGTAGTGGGATTCCTACCCAGGTGGAGCTTTTGGTCAACGTAAAGATGTTTCTGGGGGCAGAAATGAATGAAAAGGAGATTTGTTCTTCTGGTTCTAGCAAGGTGGACTGAGATAATATTCACACACACACATACACCCTTTACTAACAAGCATCTTGAAATGCTAAATAAAATACTATAATACCCCCTAAAGTGTTAATGCATAGCTGAATTTACAAGGAAGAAAAGAAATTCCCAGATGAAATAAATGGAGAGAGAACTGGAAACCAGAACCTAAGTGAATGAACTGATTGATACTGCTGCGGGGTCATTATCAGCTATCGTGATACAGAGCAGGGTCGGCGCAATTCTGTAAAGGCCAGATAGTAAATAGGTTAGGCTTTGCAACCGCAGACAGTGTGACATCATCTTCTTTTCCTTTTTTGACAACCCTTTAAATATATGTAAACCATTCTTAGCTTATAGGTTGTACAAAAACACACCACAGGCCGGATTTGGCCCATGGGCCACAGTTTGCTGACTCCTGATGTAGAGGCTTGGGTTTCTGTCCGCATGAAGACAGGAGAAAAAAATCTTAGGTCCCCAAAAGGGAGTACTCTCAGAAGATTGGATCACAGGGACATCACAGGGAAGCTTGCCATATATTTTTAAACCATTCCTCAGTATTTAAAACTGTGGATATGCTGTGCTTACATGGTTGGATTTTCAATTTACACTACCTAAACTACATTGAACCCTGGGGAACCTATGAATAGAATTCAGGGAGTCTGTAAACTTGGAGGAGAAAGCCAATTGCATTCTTATTTTCATTAACCTCTAATTGCGATTTGGCATTTTCTTCAATTAAGAATGTAGTCAGCAGACCCCAGTAGTATTAGTAGCACTTCTGACTTTGCCACCAATAGAAATCACAGATATTTTCACATCAAAATATACTACATGTATTGTTATCTCAGAATTTATATATAGATATAGATATATAGAGAGAGATAAGGATGTTTCCATGTAATTGGAAATTTTAAAAAACACTTCTAAATAATTATTGGGCCAAAAAAGAAATTGTTGAAATTAAAAATTTTTTAGAATATAGAGGCTAACAGCAGTTATTTCATATCAAAACATGTAGGTTTGGAGGGGTAATATTTAGAAAAAAGATGGAAAATGAGTGAGTTTAATTCAAGAAGTTAGACAAAGAACAAAGTAAATCCAAAGAAAGTCTGTGAATAGGATTAATAAAAATAAATTCAGAAGGAAATTAATAAAACAAGAGATGATCAACAAAGTCAAAACTTCTTGGAAAAGATGAATAAAAAGGCACAGTTGGGGCAAAGCTAATGAAGAAAAAAGAATACACAAGTAAGTTGGTGTTAGAAATGAACAGGAGGACATAGATACAGCGTACTCTTAGTGTTTATAAGAGAATATCATAAACAGTTTTATGCCAATACTTTTGAATACTCAGAAAAAATGGGCCGTTTCCCAGAAAAATATAATTTAACAAAAGTGACTCAAGAAGGGAAAACAGAATTCCCTATGTGGGACGCCATCCAAGTGCAGAGTGAGTGTTGAAAAGACATTGAGCAGCCGTTCATTCATTTATTCAACGAATATATATTGAGTCTCCATGGCAGGCACTGTCATAGGAGCGGGGTGGGTGCAGCAGTAAATGAAATAATCCAAACTCCATACTCTGTGTCAGTTCTGTCCAAAAGAACTTTTTCTGCGATGATGGAAATGTTCTTTATTGTCTCTGTCCAATATGGTAGCCATTGGCCACAAGGGGCCCTTAACTACTTGAAATATGGTTAGTGCAACTAAGACACTGAATTTTTAACTTTATTTCCTTTTAATTAAGTGAAATGTACATAGCCAGATGTGGCCAGTGGTTATCTAACGAATAAGATCAGTAATGTGTTAATGGCTTCCTATAAGAGAGTAAGACCCTGACCTTTCCAGAAGCAGCTTTTCAGTCTGAGGTAGGCAGCCCTCGTGGCCAAACAACCACATGATCCTGTGGGTTTGACTCACCTGTTACTTTACAGAGCATTTTCAGGTACAGTAAAACCTTGGATTGCGAGTAACTTGGTTTGTGAGTGTTCCACAAGACGAGCAAACATTTCTAATACATTTTAACGTGGTAAAAGAGCGATGTCTTGCAATACGAGTAGTTTGTTTCCAGATCAAATTATGCGCGCAAACCAAGGTATTACTGTACTTTGTCTCATCTACTCCTCTTCCCTCTTGAGGCTTCAGTAGCTCAGGGATCCTTCCGTAAGCAAACGTTTATTGAGTGCTAGCTTCATAGTAGCCACGCCCTGTCTCTGGTATATTCCACGGCAATGCTGACCTCAGGTGCCCAGGCTGAGGTCAGCACTCGTTACATACAGGGTGAGTGTGGGCGATGGCGAACTCACTGAGTGAAGGGGCTGTGTCCTCTTGGATCTGCTTCATCGGCCTTGCAGGGATGGGCAATCCTAAGTCCAGATGCATGAGCAAGGGAGGTGGGCCGGGGTTGGCAGGCAGAGCTGGGCACAGACTGGCTGGGAGGGCTGATGCACTTCTTTGTCTTCCCCAGCCCAAAAATTTAGGAAATAAAACCAAAAAATGCTAATACAAAAAAATGTATATATGAAGAAAAAGTCCCTCTATTGGGTATTTTTGCTGATGGATGACGTAAGTATCTTGGCTCAAGAAGAAAAGGCAAAGCCTGTGGATAGTGGAGAAATGGATTCTAGAGTGAACTTCTTTGTAAACTCTACAGCCCTTTGCTTTATTGATATCTCATCAGTGCGAACAGAAAACAGGGCCAGGCTGCACCCAGAAGGGGGCTGAGTGTGCACACCCCTCCTCGCCTGAGTGCTGCATGGCGAGGCCCCACCCAGGTCCCCCCAGTTTTGCTGTCAGGAGCAATGGCACTTTGCTGGCACAACTCTCTACATGGTGGGGTGAAAACTCTCCAGTGCCCCCGGAGCCCCTCCTCTCTGCACCCACCAGCCTGCAAAGCCAGAGCTGAGCAGTGGCAGCTCCTTGGGGCTGCTGACAGCCTTCCCCCCACCCCCCCAACACACACACACACACGCACGCACGCACGCACGCACGCACGCACGCACGCACGCGCATTGGGGCACAAACTGAGCCTCCGCGGGAACGGATGTACTGGAGAACTGCATCCTCTGTCTCTGAAGATTCTTAATGGGATGTGAGATGCTCTTCCAGTGTGAATTGTTCACACAGATCTTTTTATGCTTTTGTTTTTCAGGGATGATAATGGTGATTTTATTGCTGCTTGTAGCTATTGTGGTCGTTGCAGTCTGGCCTACCAACAAGTAGCAATAAAGGGACCACCAGCTGTGACACCTGCCAATGATGGAGAAAAGCTCAGCGCTCTTTTGATACACGAAGGCTGCTCTCAATAAATTCCCCCAAAGCTCTGCACTCTTGATTTGCGTTGCTTCAGTAAAAGCAAATTGCATGGCAGCTCTGGAGAGCTGCCAGGAGTATCAGGCCCAGCGTGGCCCTTCTGCTTCCTACCTTGGTCATTTGGGGGCTAGCCCAAGGTTCCTTAAATGGTCCCTGTCCCAGGGCTTCCAGTGAATTTCAGCCACCCTGCAGCGTGCTGGGCGCCCTGGGGGATGATAGCGAATTAATAGGCAGTTTGTAACCTTGAATGTCTGGTCTGCTCTGGGAAGTCACATGTCCATGTGGGAAATAAGGGAACACCCAAGGCTGCAATGTCCAGGCAGAGAGGAAGGAGTGACATGAGGGCTGTGACATAGGCACATGTCTCAGTGTATAACCACCACCCTTCCCAAGTCACCCTGCAAGGCTTACCAATCCTAGCAGTGCTAGCTGCCATTGCTGAGAACACTTTCTGGACTCTACTTTGGGAACTGCCTTCAGACTTCGAAGCACATTCATTTCCTTGGTGATAGTAAACCCATTTTTCAAGGCTAAGACATCTCTATAAGCAGCCAGAATCAAGTCTGTTGAATAAGGTGGGTGGGGTGGGAGGTGATCGGTCTGGAAAGTACTGTTTAGGAGTCAGAAATGTGTGATTATGAAGTCAGAAGAACAGTGCGTTTATTTGGCTCCACAGCTGGCTTGACACCCCAGCCTGTGAGTGTCCACCATGCATACGTGTGTGCATGCATGTATGGAAAAGGGCAGACAGAGAGGGCAGGCCTGCAGAGCCTCCCAGGCCTCTGGGAGTGCCGGTGATTCCAGGTGAGAGCGGCAGAGGCCCAGCTTTGTGCCCTCTCTCTTATCTGTACAGGAAGCAGGCAAAGGGGGAAAGAATTCGGGTTGGTGACAGGGCAGTTTCCGAAGCATAAAATTTCACTGAGGAAAAGGAGAGAATGTGCCTGTGGCCGGGGGGGGGGGGGGGGGGGGGGGGGTCTCCTGTGGATTTCCTAGATACTACCGGTGACTTTTCTCCAGAGGGTGGGACATGATCCTTGTGTGAACAGAGATGGACATGGGAGAAGTGCTGTGAGCCCAGCGCAGTGGTATTTCTTAGGACCCTGAGACCTGGGACTCCTGCGTGCTGGGAAGACCTGGGTCCAGACACCAGGCCTGTCGTCAAAAAGGAGCCATGACTTTCCATGCCTGGGAAGTTGTAAATCGCTGCAAAGTGTGGGTGACCTTATTCCTGCAAGCTCTTCCCTAGAGGGATTGGGTCACCTCAAGGCCCCGCCTGGCCCTGTCCCCCCTGAGCCATCCTGCTTCCATCTGGTGTGTACAGGTGGCAGTGACACGCGCTTTTCTCCCGTGAGAGGCAGTCTTCTAGCCCTGCCTGGCTTTACACTGGGACTCTGCTCTGTGGCAGCCAGAACAGAAGGATGGTGTTGCGTTCACCACCACCCAGATCAGAGTGGCCCAGATCCACCCAGGTGTAGGTGGCTTGCTCCTACTGTGAGTCCCTCGCAGGTCACCTAGGTACTCTGATGACGTCTCCTCACCCCAGAACCTGGGCTGATGGAATAGCCACTGTGAGAGAGGAAGGGGACTCTGGAAACCCTCACACTGGCAGTGGAATTTTCTGCCCAGAAGACAGCTCATTGCCTCTGCTCACAGCTCATTGGCCAGGACCAGTCACCTGGCCCTGCTCAACCATGAGGGGAGCAGGAATTGCCCAAAGGCAGAGAGCCTGAGCTAAGCGGTAAACAGCCCCAGTGACAACCATACCATTTACCAGCTTTGAGACCACGGACCTCCGTTTCCCCTCTAGAAAATAGAGAAAAGAATATTTCCTGCCTCAGAGGGTTGCTGTGAAGATCAGGTAAGTTAGTACATGTAAGCACAGAGCGCACTGTTTGTGTTTTTTTGTTTTTTGTTTTTTGTTTTAGCTGAGCCATCCTGCTACCTGTTGGCAGCTCAGCGGCTGCTCAGCTCGGGCTGGACTCGAACCGCTGTTGCTCAGAGCTCAAACTCTTGAGCGAGCTCTTACAGAGCGCACTGTTTGGCTCAGCTGAAAAAGGATTCTTCCTCTAACCCAAGTCTAAACCCACGGGGCCAGATCATCTCCATACTCAGGGATTCTATCACATGCTTTTGACCTAGGGCAACAGAGCAAACTTGTGGGGACACGCGAGTGAGCCAGCGCAGAGCAAAGCTCTGCTATTTGGACCCTAATGCCCACCGACCTCCAGGGGCTGCGAACACATGCAGGCCCAGGCGAGGCCTTGGGATGGTGAGGTCCTGGCCGTAGGTAGCAGAATGGCTGGGCTGTGTTTAGATGGGAGGTAGCAAAGGGATGAGATGGCAAGGAGCAGAGTCAGCTATGAGCATGCGCCGTGCTGTCCGGAAACTGGATTGCCAAGTGAAGGAGCGGAAAGGGCGGCGGGCTTGTTTCAAGATGGGTGTGTTCCCAAAGGAGAAGGGCCGTGCTGGACGGGGCCAAGGGCTTTTGGACGGTAAGGCATCCTGGGATGGGATTTCCTTGTGGGGTGGGGGTCGGGTGGTTGCTAAAGGATCACCCAATGAAGATCAAGAATCTGGAGAGCCCCGTCTTTCAGTGTTGTCCTGCAAAACCCCAAATCTGTATAAATAGTTTCTCCTTGGAACCCACCCCCACCCCCACTTCAGGGCTCATGGGAGGCGGCATTGAAGGTCTGTTTGACTTTCTCACCTCCTCTTGACTTGCTCAGCACGGAGCCCCGGCAACTCGTGGGGCGTCTTTGAACCAGAGCCACAGCGTCCTGGCTCAGCCACACGGAAAGGCCTTTTCAAGCCAAACACTGAGCTGATGTCTGCACACAGCAGCTTCTGTTCTTTGACGAGTGGGCTCCAGGCCCAGCCCAGCACTGCTAACTGGGTGACCTGGACAAGTGACTTCACTTCTCTGGACCTGCAGGCAGGGTAGGGGGTTCAAGAACTGGCCAGGTTAGACTTCAAGGGCCTGCCTTCCAAGCCTGGGGCGGTGCTAGGCAGAAAGGCTCCCCCTTTGCTTCGCTTCCTCTGTGTGGGCTTCTCAAATGAGACACCCACCCCACTCTAAATGAAGGGCAGACCGGAAGTGGCAAGGCTTACACGAGCCAGTTTTGGGGATCTGCTGCATCAAGACCCACCCTGGAGTAACATGGCTAACATAAAGGTGGCATTTTCTGGCTGGGTTTGGTAAGGCCTGCCTTTCCCCTTCAAAGGTTGTCAGGACTGCAGCCCCGGGTGGCCCACATTACTAGGAATGGGTCGGATGAGCTAATAATAAGACCTTACCCTCAGCATAAAGAGGCAAGACAAGGCTTTAGCACTCATCACCCTGGGTGCTTTTTCAGTGAAAATACTTTATTAAAATAACAGTATAAGCGTTGTTTAACTTAACTGATTATTAATTATAAGCATTTTAAGTCTGGATACCATATAAAGAAATCCAGATACCCGGTTACAACTGGTACTTTTGTTCCATTGTAACTTCATTATTATTAATAACTGTAACTAAACCTTGGTTTTCATTAGCCCTGGAATGATCTGCTCCTTTCAAGACCTCTTGGGCCCCAGCAGAGCCCTGGAACCTCTTTCCACAGGCTGCTGCAGGATTCCCAGTGACCCCTCTGCCCCAGGCACTGGCAGGTTCTCTCCCGACTCGAGTCAGAGAATTGCCGGCCAGCCTGTAGCTGCATTTTCCTTCCCAGGCAGCAAAGCGGGCCTCCGCCTCCTTACAACCCTTACCTCCTGCTTCTTCAGCTTCGGGGAGACACAGAGAGCTCTTTGCATAGACTAAAGATCATCTTTTATCTAGCTGGGTTTTCTAATCTAGCCCCCCTGAAGTTAAGAGGGGTTTTTCCCCCTTTATTTTAAAAAGGGGGTCAAGATTCATCTTCCCTCTAATTGTTTTGTACAGCTTCAGACTTCCAGCTCCATGCCAATACCAAAAAGCATTCACCTCTTTCCATAAATGACTCGCTGTCCTGTTGAGTCTCCCGTTTGATAAAGCAATGAGTTAATCCATCCGTATACCGTATTTGTCACTGGCTGTGTTCGCCCTTTCACTCCCAGTTTTTCTTGGCATATTTCTTATGTCTTTATTTAGTCTTAAAAGAACATAGAAAGAGATGTCTGTGCAACGAAATCTGAAACTGGGGAGTGTCTGCTGTGCGTAGGCAGTCCTCATCCTAAGGCACTGTCTTGGGAGGGCGGCGGGTGGGGCAGGCACTTGACTGGTGGGTGCGCCTCCCTGGAAGTCGGCAGACCCTGGGAAGCCCTCTCACCCAGCAGGGTCTGGGCCTTGAACGGGACTCCACTGGGCCCTGAGTCCCTGATGGGGATCACTCAGCTTCCTTGTGCCTTGGCATTCCTGTCTCTAAAATGGACTTTTCCAACCATGCTGAGCCACTACTTAGCAGAGACCCACCTTATTTCCTGCATTGAGTTTGGCAGATGTCAATGCCTTCTCTCTCTGGCCAGAGAGTGAGGCCCTGGGAGGCTGCAGGCTGCTTACAATCCACATTTTAATGTGTCTCTGGGGCCTGGGGCTGCAGCCACCAGCATAGGGCCAGGCAGTGGTGGAGTCCCAACGGAGATGGCACAGACACCTTTTTTATGAAGGACAGAAAAAAGCCACATCATGAAAGTCCTTGAGAACTGGACCCTTGAAAAGAACGACCAAAGCTGAGAGATTTCCAAGTCCAAGCCCAAACCTCTTAGCTCCAGTGTCTCAGCAGGCCTTACATCCTGCAAATGATCCAGCCAGCTCTGACCTGATCTTGGGGGAGAGCCTGAGACCGCAAAGAAGGCTTTCTTTCTCCTTGGCCTGTCCAGCCACCTGAGACCTGCCTCCTGTCCCTGACCATCCAGTACCAGGCATTGCCATTCCAGCAGGGACTTACACTTGAGACTGACTGGGACATCAGGGGCCACCCCTGTCTCTACCTGCCCTGGCTTTGACCCCTGGCTCTGAGAACACAGATCCTGTTCCTCAGACTCCTTGAGGAGGCTGG